GGGTGGCTGCGGTCACTCCCAGGCTGGCAGCAAATCCCTGCAGCCAAGCTCCTGTTGCACAGCCCCATAGCTGGTGCCAGGCCCTTCCTCTCATGGCCAAAGTTGGGGTTTTTAGCTGCTCCCTGCATAATGGGAGGCGTTAGGAGCGGAATGGGAACGTTAGGATGAGCATCACAAGGCAGAGCTGGGTTGTTTACTCTCTGATCTACCTCTGCGTCCTTGCAGGAGATTGACAGCGTCTGGATCACCAGTAAACTGAGACGGGACCTGCCGTATGTACCTCTGCCCCAGCTCCCTCCCTGCTTTCTCGGTGGGTCTGGCTTATCCCTGGCCCCATTGACTGCAGTTCTGCTGCCTTTATATCTTTCTGCAGTTCCTATTTCCCCATGGTCTGCTTTGTGTGGGAATGAATCACTCTTCTTTGAGGTGGCAATGTCTTATGGATGCCCTTGTGCTGGTCCTGCATGTTCCCAGGGCGGGGGACATTCCTGGCGATGGGGCCGAGTGTGCCATGTGCGAGCTCTTGTAACAGTTGCCCGTGCCGTTCTTCCGCAGGCGCTACTTTGAGCTGTGTTTTGGCGAGGTGCGAATCCGCACAGATCTCCAGAAGGGCCCTGGGTTCCAGCCATCCATCCCGGAGGCTCCCAGAGAAGCCAATGGAAACGAAAGCAGAGCAGACCTGACTCTTAAACCCTCCCTGCTGAGGCTCCTTAGCCAGGTGAGGCACTAGCTCGGTGAGAGGCAGTTGTGGGCTGCGCTGCTGTTGGACATCCCTCACAGTAGCACCTTTCCTACAGCTCTTTTCCATCCACATGGACTCCATCAACATCATGGTTCTGCACGTGGCCACCTCAGAGTCTCTCTGGCACGTCCAGGCCAGCAAGACGCGTCTCCTCTTGAATGGCGATGGAAAGAGGTAATGCTGTGCTTGTACCCTGCTCTGCTTCCCCAACCTGGCCCTGGGTCCCAGGGGGCAGGGAGGCTCCTCTGACCCCAACCTGGTGTCTCTCCTCTCTTCATCCCACTCAAGAGCATCCCATGTCACCTGTGATGTGACATATTAACCTTCTCTGAGGTTGGCCTAGTCCCTTTTCCCTTCATGAGAAGCTCAAGTTGTGTATTCTCCAAATTACGGGTTGCTGCGTGGTGCATGGAGTTAGGGTGCTCTGCTTTTGGGAGGACTTGGGGTCCCTGTGTCCCACAGAAAAGAGAGGGCAGGGGCTTGGTTCGGAGGCAGCAGGGCCTGCATCCTCCATCTGTTCCCTGCTCTTCCCAGCCTGACCTGCGAGGTGAGCCTGACAAAGGTGAACAGCAAAGTCCTCCGGAGCAGCAAGCTGGTGAGTGCCAGGGAAGGGAGAAATTCAACACTTCGAACCTGGGCACAGGCTCTCTGCGACACCCTGAGGACGTGCTCGCATGTGTCCCCAAGACTGGGCAATGCTGCAAGGCTCTGGGCTCCCTGCTGTGCCCAGCGCTTCACCTGCAGCGTCCACCGGTAGGGAGTTGGGTGACTCCTCGTGTACTCCTTGCCCGTGTCCCCGAACAGGATGACACCTGCCTGGCAGAGCTGGCCCTGGCGCTCTCCCTCTCGCTGGAGATCAGCAGCAGGCGGCGGCTGGTGGGCGTCAGGCTGCGTGTCCGGACCCTGCAGGCAGAGCTGCACGAAGGGCTTTTCTGCAGCCCGCTGCTGCACCGTGTCACTACCGGGGCCCAGCACAGCAGCATGGGGGAACAGCCCAGCACAGGTCAGGGATGGGGACAGGGACAAGCTCCGGGCAGGGCAGGGGCTGGCAGCTGCCATGCTTACACTGGAGCCAGAGGGATTTGGCTATGCCATCGCTGCTTCGCACTGCAGGGCGTGGGCGTTTGGGCAAGAGCCTTCCCGTGACTCTGCGTGTCCCTCTCCAGGCCCGGGGGAGCCCTTGAAGTCCCTGTCCCTGCTGAGCAGGGACACGCTGCAGCTCATCCCCAGGAGGGTGGAGGTGCAGCTGGAGAACACCAGCGTGGTGCTGTCTATGAACAGCCAGAAGAGGTAAGGAGGCCGGTGGAGGGGGAGGCTGTCCTAGCCCCAGTTAGTGCTGGGAACACGGACCTGGGGATAACTTTGCCATTCCCTGCTCTGCCAGACCACTGACGGCAAGTCCTAGAGCCCATCCCAGTGGGAAAAACTGAGCTTGGCCTGAGGCTGGGCTTTTGGGGAAGGAGGAAGGCACATGAGCTGGTTCTCCAGCAGGACAGCCTGATGGGATCCTCTGCTGATGGGATGAGAGCGCTGGGCTGGGCTGCAGCTGGGCACTGACTGGTGTCTTTGTCTGTGCCAGCATGCCAGTCAGCTGGGGATGAGAGACAGGGAGATGGAGGACATGACGGTGCAGTTCCCTTCTGGCCGTGACTCCCTGCTTCTTACAGGCACCTCACCTGGAGCCTGAAGCTGCTGCAGTTTCTATATCAGCGTGAAGAAGAGCAGATCCCACTGCGCAACTTCACACCCACCTCAGACCTGGACCAAATGAGTGTAGATCTCCAGCTAGAGGGCAAGTAGCCATGAGGTCACCCGTGAGACAGAGCTGCTATTGCTGCCCTCCACCACCCCTCACTTCTGCTCCTCTCTCTCCCCAGATGGCCTTCTCCTGTCCCAGAGCCGCCAGCGCATCGTGTGCCTCAACTCCCTGAAGACCAGCGTGCAGGTGAGTGAGCGCTGGGCACACTCCTGTCCCCTGGGGATGGCTGGTTTGGCTCCTGGCACAAGTTTTTTTACCACCTGGCCCTCTCCCTGCTCTAGGTCACAGCAATTGACCTCTCGGCTGCTGTGCTGCTCAACACCTGCATCATCCACTACCGCCACCAAGAGTTTTCACACTGGCTGGGCCTGTTGGCACAGGAATACCAGTGCCAGGCAGTGCCTGTCCCCAGCCAAGGGCACAAAGGAAGGTAAACTTGGCCTCAGCGCAGCTGCTGGTATCACAGCTTGTTTCCTCTTGCCTGCCACACTCTGGCAGGGTGCCCAGGCACCCAGGACCTTCTCTGCCCTGTGCACGGCCTGTGGGATGGGGAGGCTGGTACGGAGGGTGGCAAGCGGTCAGGGGGGCCCTGCAGAGAGGGCATCCCTCTGGGCGTGCTCCCTGCCAGGCTCCGTGGCACTCAGCTCCCCAGTAACAGCCTGTCCCTGCTTGTCCCATGCAGGAGCTATCCCCAAATCATAGCGCCCATCATCCTGAGTGCCTCGCTGTCCAACGTCAATGTGTCAGTGCAGCTAGGGGACACGCCACCCTTCGCCTTGGGCTTCAACTCCATCTCTGCAGGTACGGGCTGGCAGCTGGCGCCAGGGTGGCTGCTGGGCTCTTTTTTGGGGTCAGTGACTCTGCCAGAGAGGCAGCAGGACGGGAATGGGAAGGGCTGTGCTGCTTCTGTGCTCGTCCATGTCTGTGTCTGGCCAGGGACTGTGGACCCCTGCCTGGTTGTGTCTGGGTTGCCCCTGTTCGGGGGCGGGCGGGCAGGCAGCTCCTGGCGCGCCCTCCCCGCCCCGTCCCTGCCCGCAGACTACCAGCACCTGCGGCCACAGAGCGTGCACCAGCGAGCAGTGCTGGCCGTGGACCACCTCTGCTGGCGCGTGGGCAACGACTCGCACATCCAGCGTGCCCCACATCCCCCAAACATGCACGTGTGGGGAGAAGCCCTCATCCTTGACTCCTTCAACCTGCAGGTGAAGGGCGGAGCGAGGGGTGGCTCTTGCGGGGGAGCTACCTGTTTGCAACTCCATGCAGGTGGCACAGGGACGCGTGGTGGCATGGGGACATCCTGCAGCCTGAGAGTGTTTGTCCCGTTTGTCCTGCAGGGCAGCTACAACCAGCCCCTGGGCATGTCTGGCGCCCAGTCGGACCCGATCTTCCTGGACTGCACCATCCGGGGGTTGCAAGTGGAGTCGTCGGACACCTGCACCGAGTGCCTGGCCAGGATCCTGCCCCTGTTCTGCCCACGGCCCAGCGGAGCTGAGCTTGCCAAGCAGCCACCTTCTGCCTCAAGCGAGCCTTGGGGGCTGCTCTGGAAGGTGGATCTGAAGGTGGAGGACGTGAACCTTTTCACACTCTCAGCCCTGGTGGGTAAGTAGCATCCAGGCTGATCCCAGATGGCTGTCGTGGAACAACCCTGAGGTCAGAGGAACCTGGCATGTCGTGGTGTGCCCCCTCCGTGTCTCCAGCACTGACGAGCCATCTCTCTAGGTGCCCTGGAGCTGCGGCTGGACACACTGACTGTCCTGGGGAGTGCTGAGAGCTGCACGGTCAGCGTCCAGGGCATGGTGCTGGCCTTGGTGAAGAGCATCATGGAGAAGATGCAACCGTGCTGCAAAGCTCCTGCCATCCCCAACCCTGTGGCCAACCTCTCCATGCTCTCTGTCACCTACCACAGCAGCATCCGCTCCCTGGAGGTTGGTTTAGGCGTCGGGTCTCTGCTTTGTCCTGTACTGGCGGGACTGGGGTGGATAGGGCAGGGGAAGGGTTGGCTGGCACTGAAGGATGCTGGAGAGGAGAACGGGGCTGTGCTGTGCTGGACCTGGCAGTGACTCGGTGCCTGCTCGCTCTCTCCGGTGTAGGTGCAGTGCGGCGAGGGGCTGGCGGTGCTGTGGAGCCC